GGGACCCAGGGGGCTTTTACTCGAAGTATTTTTTAATTCCCAAAAAGACTGGGGGACTCCGCCCAATTTTGGACCTGAGGGGTTTGAATCTTTACATGAAGTCCATCCCCTTCCACATGTTGAGCATCAGGGACGTGCTTCAGGCAATTTCCCCAGGCGACTGGTTCACCTTGGTCGATTTGAAGGACGCATATTTTCATGTCCCGATTGCGCCACAGCATTGGCGTTTTCTCCGCTTTGCATTTCAGGGCAGGCATTTTCAGTTCAGGGTTCTCCCGTTCGGCCTCTCTCTGTCCCCGCGTGTGTTCACTCGGTGCATGGCCGCGGCCTTGTGTCCTCTGCAGGCCAGAGGGTTGAAGATCCTGCCTTATTTGGACGACTGGCTCGTCTGTGCGGCCACAGAAGCTCAAGCTGCTGCAGACACGCGCACCTTGCTCGATCACATGGACCTATTGGGTCTTTGTGTGAACTGGCAGAAGAGCAACCTGATTCCGTGTCAGCAGGTAACGTTTCTCGGTATCACGATGGACTCTCTCTCCATGACTGCTCGCCCATCGCCTCAGCGTGTCGAGAGCATTCTGCAGATGCTGCCTGCCTTTCTTCCCGGTCGGGCGGCCCCCTTTGTTCTCTATCTCCGTCTGCTGGGGAAGCTGACAGCTGCCGCTACTGTAGTGCCCCTAGGGCTGCTGTCTCTGCGACCACTGCAGATGTGGCTCAACAGCCTGAGGCTGGATCCTTCTCGTGCGTCACACCGTCACAGGAAATTGCAGGTGTCCCCTCAATGCCTCGTATCGCTGGCTCAGTGGCGAGAGGCAGGATTCATGATAAGGGGAGTTCCGCTGGGTTTGCTGCCATCCCGTTGGGAAGTTGTCTCTACCGACGCGTCCACCACAGGATGGGGGGCCTTGTGGCAGCGACAGATCGCTCGGGGGACATGGTCTCCACGAGAGAGGTGGCACCACATCAACGCTCTGGAGTTGGAGGCTGTGCACCGCGCGCTGCGGCACTTCCTCCCGGTCCTGCGGGGAAGGCATGTCCTGGTGCGGTCGGACAACACGTCGGTTGTTTTTCACATCAACCATCAAGGGGGAACACGGTCTTTGATGCTACTGAGGCTGACCCGGGAGCTTCTGACCTGGGCGGCCCCTCTTTTTGCCAGCCTGAGGGCGACCCACATCCCGGGGGTGCAGAATGTTCCTGCCGACATCCTATCCCGGGGGCGTCCACCACCGGGGGAGTGGAGGCTCCACCCGGATGTAGTGGAAACTATTTGGGAGAGGTTCGGGAGAGCAGCCGTAGATTTGTTCGCTTCCCGAGAGACGACACATTGCCCGCTGTGGTTCTCCCTGTCGGACAGTGCCAGTCCCCTAGGTCAGGACGCGCTGTCGCACGACTGGCCGAGGGCACTCCTCTACGCCTTCCCGCCACTTCCCCTGATAGGCCCAACACTCCTGAGGGTCCTTTAGGAGGGACATCAGCTCCTTCTGGTGGCCCCCCGGTGGCCAGGGAGGACTTGGTTTCCGATGCTGCACAGGCTCTGTTGCAGCTCTCCGATGCCTCTTCCCTGCAGGAAGGACCTGCTGTCACAGCTGGACGGTCGGATCCTGCATCCCAATCCCAGTCGCCTCCGACTCTGGGTCAGGCCACTACAGGGCCCGGCGTTTCCTTCTCGGAGTATGGCGGGGACATCGGACACACGATGACTAATAACAGGGCCCCTTCCACGCGTCTGGTGTACGCCCATAAGTGGAAGGCTTTTAGCCGCTGGTGTCAGGAAAGAAGTGAGGACCCTGTACACTGTCCTGTTTCTGTTATTTTAACCTTCCTTCAAGCACTGCTTTCTCAAGGTCGCTCTCCATCCACTCTAAAAGTCTATGTGGCTGCCATCTCTTGCTGGCATTCGGTGGTGAGTGGGGAGACGGTGGGTCGTAACAAGGACGTTTCCTTGTTTTTGAGGGGTGCCCGGCGTTTGCACCCTCCCACACGCCCTGTTGTGCCGGTGTGGGACCTTTCTATTGTCCTCGCTGCCCTGCGCTCTCCTCCCTATGAACCGTTGGCGGGGGCAAGCCTTGAGTGTGTGTCGAAGAAGACAGCTTTTCTCCTCGCCATGGCCTCGGCGAAACGGGTGAGTGAACTACATGCACTGTCTGTTCACGAGTCCTGCTGCCGTTGGAACCCGGCTGGTTCGGGTGTTACTCTTTGGCCTAATGCGGCGTTTCTTCCTAAAGTGGCTTCACCCGCGAGCCACACTGTGCCCCTCCAGCTTGCTCGCCTTGATACAGATGGGCCTGATGAGCTTCTCTGCCCTGTTCGGGCACTGAGGACATATGTCAGTCTCACAGCTTCTCTCCGTCAGGCAGATAATCTGTTTGTCTGCTACGCGGGGCCCCGCAAGGGGCAGGCCCTTTCTAAACAGCGCCTTGCGCGTTGGATTGTGGATGTAGTGGAACAGGCGTACATTCAGCGGGGCCTCCAACCCCCCGCTGGTGTACGGTGCCATTCCACCAGGGGTGTCAGTGTGTCATGGGCCGCTATGACTGGTCTCACTCTGGAGGCTATTTGCTCAGCAGCCTCTTGGTCATCCCCAAATACCTTTGCTAGGTTTTACAGGGTCAACTTGGCCACCCCTCACCCAATGCAGGGGATCCTGTCCCAGCGCACGCCATCTTCCCAGTGAGGTGGGCATGTTTGGGTTGTTGTTTCTGTGTGTGATTCCTCAGGACTCTGTTGGTAATCGTCATCCGTGCTTTAAGCACCGCCTCTGGCGGTCAGTAGGGATGAAATAGAACGAAAGTTACGACTGTAACTACGGTTCTATGAATCCCGGATGACCGCCAGAGCGCTCGGTCCCTCGGAATCATTGTGTGTTCGCGAGAAGATTAAGGGACTGAGCTGTTGCTGTCACGTGACTATATAGGCACACCGGTGTCACCGGGGGTCACACGTGACTATGTTGGTATAAGATTCTCGACCTGTGCATGCGCAAGAGTGATCATTCGTGCTTTAAGCACCGCCTCTGGCGGTCATCCGGGATTCATAGAACCGTAGTTACAGTCGTAACTTTCGTTTTTCCTCTCCACTGTCGCTACAAGCATGCTTAGTGTGGGGGATTGTATTTGAGTCAATGAGTCAATGCAATCAACTGGTTTTCCTTAGATAGAAAACTTTGTATCAATTTGACTGTATGATCTGGTTGAACTGTAAAGTGCCTTGAGATGACATGTGTTGTGAATTTGGCGCTATATAAATAAACTGAATTGAATTGAATTGAATCAAAAGCACTTCTTTCACAAGGTTTCCAAACAGTGTAATCTAATCACTATTATCTGGGAAAATAAGAAGACTTTAGAGGAAGTTGGCAGCCTAAGCTAGCTCTCCTGACGTCCTTTGAACCTGATAACCTGATAGACATGCAGAGACGCCTGCTGCCTCCGCGTCCCGTTAGTCCTTCAGATCGCTGCTAGCAGCCTCTGATGAAGATGATGATGATGATGCTCTTCTAGTAAGCGGTAAATAGAGATATTTCAGCACAACATACGGACGGTGCGTCCCAGAGTAGTTATCCCTGCCAGAGGCTGTATCCCATTGTTAACGCACAGGAGACCAGAGCAGATATATGGTGGCTAGATTCAGACGTCTGTGACCTCGGCTGCAGGGATCTAATGGAAATGAATTCATTGCCCGACGGGGAGACATTAGCAGTGAGAAGCTACTGGTAGCACTCAGCTTTCTTAGACGGTTACATTTCTCTGTAATTTGCAGTTTATCCTACAGAGAGGAAGGCGAGTCACAATGTGAAGGCGTATCATGCAGCCTTCAAGCAGATGTGCTGGAAATATTCCCCCATGTGCAGATTGTGGTTAGAGAAGAATTCAAAATCCCCTGACTTCAGTTAGCTTCTTAATGCTAATTTTTCTGACCAACAGATGAAATGACTCCCTTAATAACAACAATACTGAAGCCATGTTAACAGATGATAACGAAGGGGAAATGTGGCCAAGCTCCACGCTTAGAGTTCAGGTTATCCTGATCTATCTCTATAGTTCTGCTGCTATAGGCTTAGACTGCTGGAGGACATAGGGACCCCTTTTTCATCATTCTGCTTCATTCTATCTCTATTCTCCCACTCTGCAGAATCTGTTAGTTCAATCTCTAACGTTCTGCTCTCTCTGCTTTTTCTCATAGTAGCTTCATCTGGTCTGTTCCTGTTTGGCTGTGACTCCATCCTGGAGAGAAATATCAGCTGTGCTGCTGCCATCAACACCTTTGTTTCTAGATGTTGGAGCTTGGCCTGTTTTCCAGTGTGTAGTCCTGTTTCTCTCCTTAACATATCAATGGGCTCAGCTTGTACCCAATGGCTGCATAGTTATCTGAGTGTCCCAAAAAGGTTCCTCTTCTCAGGCCAGCATCTGGATCTACAGATCCAGCTGTCTGTCTAGCTGTGGTGATATCTGTTTTCACATTAGCACAACTAGCATATCATCTCGCTACAGCCTCCTCCTCAGTGAAAACACTCCAAGAAGACAGAATTGTGCCATAAAATAAGGTTTGGTAAAGAAAGAAACTCAGGAAGCCGTAGCTGAAACACACCTTTAGTGATGGGCTGATAGGTCCAGCTGAGTGGAGACACTGCTCCACTAGAAGGGGATGTCCAACTAGAAGGACACCAGATAGCAGACCACTGGCTGACTGGAGGAGCGGCTGCTGGGACTGATTGAAGGACAGGTGAACAGACGGGGGGATGGACAGGTGGACAAACAGGGGGACAGACAGGGGGATGGACAGGTGAATAGACAGCAGGATGGACAGGGGGATGGATAGGTAAACAGACAGGTAAACAGACGGGGGGATGGACAGGGGGAGGAATAGGTGGACAGACAGGGGGATGGACAGGGGGATGGATAGGTGGACAGATGGACAGTTTTTTCCAGGCCTGACTTCTGAGCTTTGCAGCCTTCAGAAATCCAGCAGCCTTGTCTAAAGCAGCTCCTGCTTTTCAGGTGACCCACAGCGGGACGAGGAAGGTGATGGTGGTGAAGATCTACAAAAACGATGTAGACCAAGACAGCATCGTGAGAGAGATCAGCCTCCTGCAGAAGCTCTCACACCCAAATGTTGTCAGGTGAAAACGCCGAGCTACTCTAGAGCTGAACCTCAGGCTGAATTCTAGAAACTTCTTCCTGTCCACAGAGTCCGATCTTGAGCTTTCACACTTTAATCCTGATAAAACCTCCTTAAATAAAGACTAACCCGCTAAATGTGAATAAATAGTGAGCAATGATTTCATTTTCACACTTAGTGAAAGACCTGAAACTGTAAGTTGGTTTTTACCACCTTTGCTCTTCGTTCCAGATATCTGGGCATCTGTGTGAAAGAAGACAAGCTGTACCCGATCTTAGAGGTCCGTCGCTCTCCTCCGTCATCGTCTGACTTTATTTGGTTCGTCTGTTTCCAGACATCATAATGGTTTTCCATCAGAAGTCAGGCTTTAATCATTTGATGTCAGAATGGAAACGTTAGCAGACCTCAGAGGGAGGCCTGATATCTCCTCCCTGCGTCTGACAGCTGATGGAACAACGTTCCCCTCACATCCAAAGATGCATTTTGAACGAAGGAGAAGATGGAGGGAGGGACCAACAAACGGCTGATCGTTACCATGAAGACACGGAGGCTGGGATCTGCAAGGATCTCAGAAAAAAAAGATAGAAATAAGTTTAATAATTTGGGGTTGATCTATAAAGATTCCTGCTACTCGGATAAAATGTGTGAATGTGAGATAGTAAGGGCACTTTCTTAAAAATGATATTATTGACTAATAATATTTATACAGCACTTTATAAGTAGCTTACAGTGCCACAAAAAACAAAACAAAAAAACTTAAAGGTAAAAATAGCAGAATTTGGTGTCATGATCGGTTTTACGAATCTGACCCACATGAGAGAAGCACTCAGAGAACGCGAGATAAGTTTAACTGGTTTATTGAGGTAAGAGTACAGGGGCTGGAACTGGAACTCAGTGAGATGGTGAACCGGAACTGGAAGTGAGAAGGGAAGTGCAGGTCAGTTCAGGTACCATGGGAATCTTGGATGTTGTTAGGTAATGCTGGTGAGGGACTAACGTTTGAGGGGGGCCTTGTCAGTCCTTGAATGCAATCTGTATGGGATAATCCAGAGAATACTGAACACGTTGGAGGGCGGACAGGTACACAAACGTTGGACCCGGAGAAGTAATGGAGCAGACTGTCACTCGGATTTCCGATGGGAACTTGAACAGATCATGTGGAGGTTTTCCCCTGCTCAGCATGAACTCTGCTTTCCTTCTAGGGGGAGAAGGTCCAGGTATCCAGTTAGACCGGAAGTCTTACTGTGGAAGAAACAAAAACAAAAGTACATGAGTCTCAGAGAAACAACGCTTGGGTTAGACTCAGCTAGTCTCAGCTTGGCTAGAGGACCCAAAACTGGCAAACACTCTGGCGTCGAGGTAGTGACAGCCCACTGCTCAAATACTCCTCCAGATAATGGTCCAATGAGCCGCAGGTGTGCAGGGAGGCCCAATGAAGACAGGGCACCACCTGGTGGTGGAGAAAAGGAAACACACAAACAGACCAACAAACTGGATTCCTAACATTTGGATGTTAAAGATTTAAGATCAGTCATAAAAGTCACCGAAGCTGAAAGGCTCAGTCCGTGGTTTGGTTCAATCCATGATTCATGCCTCTATGGTTACCGTCTGACACCTTTCCATGGTTACAGTCTAACACCTTTCCATGGTTACTGTCTGACACCTTTCCATGGTTACTGTCTAACACCTTTCCATGCTTACTGTCTAACACCTTTCCATGCTTACCGTCTGACACCTTTCCCTGGTTACTGTCTGAGACCTTTCCATGGTTACTGTCTGAGACCTTTCCATGGTTACCGTCTGACACCTTTCCCTGGTTACCGTCTGACACCTTTCCCTGGTTACCGTCTGACACCTTTCCCTGGTTACTGTCTGAGACCTTTCCATGGTTACTGTCTGAGACCTTTCCATGGTTACCGTCTGACACCTTTCCCTGGTTACCGTCTGACACCTTTCCCTGGTTACCGTCTGACACCTTTCCCTGGTTACCGTCTGACACCTTTCCCTGGTTACCGTCTGACACCTTTCCCTGGTTACTGTCTGAGACCTTTCCATGGTTACTGTCTGAGACCTTTCCATGGTTACCGTCTGACACCTTTCCCTGGTTACCGTCTGACACCTTTCCCTGGTTACCGTCTGACACCTTTCCATGGTTACCGTCTGACACCTTTCCCTGGTTACCGTCTGACACCTTTCCCTGGTTACCGTCTGACACCTTTCCCTGGTTACCGTCTGACACCTTTCCCTGGTTACTGTCTGAGACCTTTCCATGGTTACTGTCTGAGACCTTTCCATGGTTACCGTCTGACACCTTTCCCTGGTTACCGTCTGACACCTTTCCCTGGTTACTGTCTGAGACCTTTCCATGGTTACTGTCTGAGACCTTTCCATGGTTACCGTCTGACACCTTTCCCTGGTTACCGTCTGACACCTTTCCCTGGTTACTGTCTGAGACCTTTCCATGGTTACCGTCTGACACCTTTCCCTGGTTACCGTCTGACACCTTTCCCTGGTTACTGTCTGAGACCTTTCCATGGTTACTGTCTGAGACCTTTCCATGGTTACCGTCTGACACCTTTCCCTGGTTACCGTCTGACACCTTTCCCTGGTTACCGTCTGACACCTTTCCATGGTTACCGTCTGACACCTTTCCCTGGTTACCGTCTGACACCTTTCCCTGGTTACCGTCTGACACCTTTCCCTGGTTACCGTCTGACACCTTTCCCTGGTTACTGTCTGAGACCTTTCCATGGTTACTGTCTGAGACCTTTCCATGGTTACCGTCTGACACCTTTCCCTGGTTACCGTCTGACACCTTTCCCTGGTTACTGTCTGAGACCTTTCCATGGTTACTGTCTGACACCTTTCCATGGTTACTGTCTGACACCTTTCCATGGTTACTGTCTAACACCTTTCCATGCTTACTGTCTAACACCTTTCCATGCTTACCGTCTGAAACCTTTCCATGGTTACCGTCTGACACCTTTCCCTGGTTACTGTCTGAGACCTTTCCATGGTTACCGTCTGACACCTTTCCCTGGTTACAGTCTAACACCTTTCCATGGTTACTCACTGACACCTTTCCATGGTTACTGTCTAACACCTTTCCATGGTTACTGTTTGACACCTTTCCATGGTTACTGTTTGACACCTGTCCATGGTTACTGTTTGACACCTTTCCCTGGTTACTGTCTAACACCTCTGCAATGGTTACCGTCTAACACCTTTCCATTGTTACTGTCTAACACCTTTCCATGGTTACTGTTTGACACCTTTCCATGGTTACTGTCTAACACCTTTCCATGGTTACTGTCTAACACCTTTCCATTGTTACTGTCTAACACCTTTCCATGGTTACTGTTTGACACCTTTCCCTGGTTACTGTCTAACACCTCTGCAATGGTTACCGTCTAACACCTTTCCATGGTTACTGTCTGACACCTTTCCATGGTTACTGTCTAACACCTTTCCATGGTTACCGTCTGACACCTTTCCATGGTTACTGTTTGACACCTTTCCATGGTTATCATCTAACACCTTTCCATGGTTACCATCTGACACTTTTCCATGGTTACTGTTTAACATCTTTCCATGGTTACTGTCTAACACCTTTCCATGGTTACCGTCTGACACCTTTCCATGGTTACTGTCTAACACCTTTCCATGGTTACTGTCTAACACCTTTCCATGGTTACTGTTTGACACCTTTCCATGGTTACCGTCTGACACCTTTCCATGGTTACTGTCTAACACATTTCCATGGTTACTGTTTGACACCTTTCCATGGTTACTGTCTAACACCTTTCCATGGTTACTGTTTGACACCTTTCCATGGTTATCATCTAACACCTTTCCATTGTTACCGTCTAACACCTTTCCATGGTTACTGTCTAACACCTTTCCATGGTTACCATCTGACACCTTTCCATGGTTACTGTCTAACACCTTTCCATGGTTACTGTCTAACACCTTTCCATGGTTACTGTCTAACACCTTTCCATGGTTACTGTCTAACACCTTTCCATGGTTACCGTCTAACACCTTTCCATGGTTACTGTCTGACATCTGTCCATGGTTACTGTCTAACACCTTTCCATGGTTACCGTCTAACACCTTTCCATGGTTACTGTCTAACACCTTTCCATGGTTACCGTTTGACACCTTTCCATGGTTACTGTTTGACACCTTTCCATTGTTACCGTCTAACACCTTTCCCTGGTTATCACCTAACACCTTTCCATGTTAACCGTGTAACACCTTTCCATTGTTACTGTCTAACACCTTCCCATGGTTACTCTTTAACACCTTCCCATGGTTACTCTTTAACACCTTTCCATGGTTACTCTTTAACACCTTTCCATGGTTACTGTCTAACACCTTTCCATGGTTACCATCTAACACCTTTCCATGGTTACTGTCTGACACTTCCAACCTGTTCCAGTCCTTCACCTGAACACTGGCTGCCTGTTTGCAGTACGTCAGCGGTGGCTGTTTGGAGGAGCTACTGGCCAGGAAAGACCTTCTGCTCAGCTGGAGAGATAAGGTGGACCTGGCTTGTGATATAAGCAGAGGAATGATCTACCTACACTACAAGAACATTTACCACAGAGATCTGAACTCCAAGGTGAGATTTTTAGGCATGAAGCTTTCATTTAGCTTCTCTTGTTGTCCAAACTGAGGGTCTCCAAAAAGAACATTTTAAAGGACCTGGAAGATGAAGGTTTTTCATTCTATCAGAGACGCAGATTCAAATATTGTTGAGGGTGTGACGCCTGTTCAGGGTCATACCTGCTAATCCAGTCTGTTTTATGTTCCAGTGACAATAGATTGGTCCAGGTGTGACTGGTTCCTGTCTGTTATCTTCCCTCTGTGGAGGTCCTAAGGCTAAACCAACACTGAACATGAAGAACATGTTATCTCCTTAAAGGGGAACGCGTTTTTTTTTTCATTGGTCCCTTGATTTTCCGTTATTCCATCATGTTCTACTCTCCCAGATGAGTTTAGTGTCATTTGGAGCCGTTCTGAAGATATTCCGTTAGGTTATATCCAGGAACGTCTTCCTATGGGCAACAACTTGAAGGCACAAACTAAACTGTTCATCATTTATTCTTTATGGTACGCCAGCATTCAGAACATGGAGGCCAATCACTGTCCCCCAGACATCCACTGGAGGCTTTTATTTTCTAATTAAAATTGGGAAAGAGAGGAAGGAATCAGGGAGCTTTGAAGGAGAACTGAGGTCTCAGCGAGAGGTTCTGGTTGTTTCTCCTCCTTTCATCTTTAAAAGCTGCCTCAGTTTTTACTCCTTTTTTGCTCCTCCTGTGTGGCGTCTGTAGAGGTGCCGGTTCCCTGGCTCCGTACCTGCAGCTTTCCCTCCCTTTGGCTGCTGTGGATCAGCGGTCTCCATCTAACCGCCATTTCTTATTTAGCTGAAGTAGCTCTATCACTGACTTCTAACTCTAGATGTACATTTATATATTTACTCTCAGGGACTGATGCACGAGGAGGCCTTAAAGATCCTCCATAAAGGGCTGTGTGGGTGTGCTGGAGTGGAGGTGCTGCCTGTTCTCTGGTTGCCAGGCATCCCAGAAGAAGCTGCCAGCAATGCAAAGCAACATCATGACGGTCTATATTGATATGTTAATGAATGTTTCTAACTAAAGGCTGTTGTTCTGCACTCAGGCTGTTAGCTGCCAGCTGCACATCAAACAGCAGCTCCTCTCTCGGTTGAAGGTTCTTGGTTTATGACACATACTGAACCTGGTAAACCAGAAACAAGCTGACCTCATTAATTAAAGGGGCGGAGTCAGAAGCTCAGTATGGTTTAATATGAAGGCTTTGAGGCACTGCTCATTGGCACAGTGGGTAGCACTGCTGCCTTGCAGCAAGAAGGTTCTGGGTTCCATTCCAGGCTCTTTCTGCATGGAGTTTGCATGTTCTCCCTGAGCATGCATGGGTTCTCTCTGGGTACTCCAGTCCAGTCCTCCCACAGTCCAAAAACATGACTGTCAGGGTAATTGGCTTCTCTAAATCCTCCTTAGGTGTGAATGGTTGGTTGTCCTGTTTGTCTCTGTGTTGCCCTGGACCCCGCCCCCTCTGTCCAGGGTGGACCCCGCCCCCTCTGTCCAGGGTGGACCCCGCCTCTCTGTCCAGGGTGGACCCCGCCCCCTCTGTCCAGGGTGGACCCCGCCCCCTCTGTCCAGGGTGGACCCCGCCTCTCTGTCCAGGGTGGACCCCGCCCCTCTGTCCAGGGTGGACCCCGCCTCTCTGTCCAGGGTGGACCCCGCCCCTCTGTCCAGGGTGGACCCCGCCTCTCTGTCCAGGGTGGACCCCGCCCCTCTGTCCAGGGTGGACCCCGCCTCTCTGTCCAGGGTGGACCCCGCCCCTCTGTCCAGGGTGGACCCCGCCCCCTCTGTCCAGGGTGGACCCCGCCTCTCTGTCCAGGGTGGACCCCGCCCCTCTGTCCAGGGTGGACCCCGCCTCTCTGTCCAGGGTGGACCCCGCCTCTCTGTCCAGGGTGGACCCCGCCCCTCTGTCCAGGGTGGACCCCGCCTCTCTGTCCAGGGTGGACCCCGCCCCTCTGTCCAGGGTGGACCCCGCCTCTCTGTCCAGGGTGGACCCCGCCTCTCGCCCGTAAACAGCTGGAGATAGACACTAGCTCCCCTCGCCACTCCACTTGGGATTAAGTGTGTAAGAAAATGGATGGATGAAGGTTTTCAGATTAAACGATGGGGCCCTGCTGTATCTATGAATCTTATTTCTGTTATAATTTGTTGTTGCTCCACTTGTGGATAAACTTAAGCATCTTCTCTGCTTACATAACCAGACCAGGTAACCAGACAACGCTGAGCACCACGCCATAAAATAAAGGAATCAATCAGAAATGAACTTATACCTTAAGAGAGATGAGTGAGACTTCCAGCACAGATCAGTGCAAAGGCAGCATCAGGATGAGTGCTTCTCTTTGGAGTCACAGTCAGCCGTCAGTCCACACAGGAAGCTCCAATCAGACACATTTTCCCCGCCATAAGGGCCCCGCCTCTCTAAACTACAGACCCTCCCCCTGTCAGTCCATGTCCTGTGTGTCCCTCCAGAACTGTCTGATCCGGGTGACGCCTCGCGGTCGGGAAGCTCTGGTGACGGATTTTGGGCTGGCGAGGGAGGTGGTGGAGCCGCCTGTGAAGGACCCTGGCAGGAAGCTGTCGTTGGTGGGCTCAGCCTTCTGGATGGCTCCTGAGATGCTCAGAGGAGAGCCCTACGACCGCAAGGCGAGTCCAGGCTGGGCTTCGGTCGCTGGCCAGAAACCATCATTAGCTGTTTGTTTGTTAGACGTGATTCTCTGACTTGTTTCAGGTGGACGTTTTCTCCTTCGGGATTCTTCTCTGTGAAATCTTTGCCAGGATCCCAGCAGACCCAGAGGTCCTCCCCAGAACCCAGGTAGAGATCAGGAACAGGACCCACCATGCTAGCTAACAGCATTCAGGGTGTAAACAATGAAGCAGAGGTACAGCTCAGTGCTGATGATGGTGTGTTTCAGGACTACGGGCTGGATGTGGAGGCCTTCAGCAGGATGGTTCCTGACTGCCCTCAGCGCCTCCTGCAGGTGGCAGCCAGCTGCTGCATGGTACGTAGTGTTGCTATTGGACCGCTGGGTTCCTCCTGTGAGGGATTGAATCTAGAAATGTATTTCTACTTTGAGGTCACCTGTTCAGCTGATCTGCCACCAACTAAAGATCTGACCTGAACCTGGATGACTCCCTGAAAAGCACCGAGCTCAGATCAGACCTACAATGACTGATCTTATTTCTACAGTCCTACCATGTCATCTCAGATTAGCTTATAGATCCAGATCAACCAGATCACCAAGGTTAAAGGGGTTTCTAAAGTTTTCTATCTAAGGAAAACCAGCTGATTGCATCGACTCATTGACTCTTCAGCAATCCCTCACACTAAGCATGCTTGTAGCGACAGTGGAGAGGAAAAACTCCCTTTGAACAGGAAGAAACCTCCAGCAGAACCAGGCTCAGTGTGAGCGGCCATCTGCTGAGGCCCACTGGGGTTCAAGGAGACAGAAGCAGACATAGAAAAGAACATAACATCTATGATTTATAGAAAAACTTCTATGTTAGAAAAGGTAAAGGTGCGTTCACCTTATTAAAACAGCATATTTTATTTTCATACATTTTTATAAACGTATTATTTTGTTATGGTTCTGGTGGAGATGTTAGTTTCCCAGCAGAAGATCATGTTGATGCAGCTGGTCTGTCTCCTGCTCCCAGGTGGAGTCCTTCCGGCGCCCGGCGTTCACAGAGATACTGGACCAGCTGGGCGTAGCAGGCGAGGACCTGGAGCCGCCATCAGAGCCGGAGCTAACGGCGAGCTGAGCGGCGTTTGTTCAGCTGCCAGGATCATTGATGACTATGTGGACAGGAAGCCGGGATGATCAGGAGTTCCTAGATCCGCCCTGAGCATCGACGCGCCGCCTGCTCTCTGCTTCTCGCTGTATGTCGGGTTATCAGAACACGTTTTGGCAGCACCTGGATGAGCAGTTACACCCGCAGGGAAATAGATCTGCTTCAATCAGACGTCTGATCCTTTAGCTGCTGTCACGTCTCTGGAACCAATGATCCGATCTGCTGTTTCCGTCTTTGTCTCTAATTGTCTGCCTGCAAACACAACCTCTGTCCAGATGTTCCCTCACAGCTTTAGACGTAAAACGCTTCACACCAATGAGAAACCAGAGAAACCTTTGCTTTCTTTTTTCATTTGTAAACTCCAGAGTTACTGAGAGGATCCAGGACATTTCTTCTCCATCCGCACTGAGACGATGAAAACATTAGATGAATGATTTCAGGATTGTTCCATCATTGAATGAATCCTTTGAAAGCACATTTCTCCATATTCTTCCTTTGTGGATTGAAAGTTTTCCCAGAGGAAAGTCTAAAATGAGGTCTCCTAGGCAACCATGACACCAAAACCAGACAAAGGTTCATTTCTCCTGCGTCTGCGTTTTTTTCTCTTGATTTATTCTCCTTTCATAAAAGATTTCAACCAGCTGTAATAAATTGTTGTGTCTCTTTGAAATCAGAGAAATCTCTTTGAAATCAGAGAAATCTTTAAAATCAGAGAAATCCCTTTGAAATCAGAGAAATCTCAGAAAAATCAGAGAAATCTCTTCAAAATCAGAGAAATCTCTTTGAAATCAGAGAAATCTCTGTGAAATCAGAGAAATCTCAGAAAAATCAGAGAAATCTCTTTGAAATAAGAGAAATCTCTTTGAAATCAGAGAAATCTCTGTGAAATCAGAGAAATCTCAGAAAAATCAGAGAAATCTATTTGAAATCAGAATAATCTCTGTGGAATCAGAGAAATCTCTGAGAAATCAGAGAAACCTCTGAGAAATCAGAGAAATCTCTGAGAAATCAGAGAAACCTCTGAGAAATCAGAGAAATCTCTGAGAAATCAGAGAAATATCTTTGAAATCAGAGAAATATCTTTAAAATCAGTCTGAAATCATCACAGCATGAATAATCAGTTCAGAAAAACTTAATGTGCCTGAAACATCTAGATCTAGATCATGTCTAACCTTCTTTTTCCAGTGAATAATAACAGAAACATTTGAGAGCAAATAGAAATTAAAATGAGAAACTTTAATATTTCTGATCAAGTGTAGAAGAACAAACATTTTCCTGTTTTTTTGTTTTTTTGACAAACGAAGCTTCTAGATTTTCTTCCTGAAATCCTACTTTGGTTTATAGACCAGGGGTCGGCAACCTGCGGCTCTTTAGCCAACTTCAAATTTGGGTCATAGCCAGTTGATCAGTGGTCATAGCCTGCAGCAGGATTCGGCGTGGCGTGGCGTGGCACGGCGTGGCGTGGCGTGGCACGGCGCGGCGTGGCGCGGCGTGGCACGGCGCCAGGCAGGCAGGCAGGCAGGTGGCTGAGGTAAACAAAGCGGTGGGTTTGTCTCAGGCCATCGATCCCAAAGGGAAAAAAAGGGAATTTGATGAGGATTCAAAGAAGAATCGTTTGCTTTCATCACCAATCAGGAAGGATTGCTGCATGTTTGCTTTGCAATGAGAGTTTATCAGATAATAAAAATATTCATTAGGAAAAACATTTCCAGGGAAGGTTAAATCTGCAGCCGATCATCAAGCTGGGAGGGACAGAAAAATTAGAAAATTAGAGGAGAGCAAAGATAGATTTAAGAAGTAGATTGCATCTCCAAACTCCACTACTGCTGCTGGTTTGGTTGAAGCATAGAAAACCATTCATAGATCCAACAGGTAGAACTCTGATGCAGGGATGGGAACTTTCTACTTTCGTTCATGTTCCTCCTTCATCTCCTGCTGGAGTTTAAACCTAAAGCACCAGATATGGAACAGCAGAGTCACATGATGAGACGTTTCCTCCTGGATAAACATTTAATCATTAATGTTTATTATATATTTAAGCACATTTAGTCCTTTTCTATAGTGAGATGATTCACTCAGAGCCCATCAGAGGCTGATAGAGGATTTCTACATTTTTATGGCTCCCCACTGATTGGTTTTCTTCTTGTCTTGATTTAATATTGATCTTTGGGCAGTTTGGTTGCCGACGCCTGCCTTAGACCGTAACGCAGGGTTTAGAACCGTCAACCTTTTTTTTATCTCACTCCTTGGACATTATTAGAACACAAACAGATCCTTAAATGTTGCTTTTGGTCTGTAGGTCATTTTTCCTCAGTCTGCAGAAATAAACTGGTAATTTCTGCTTGTTTTTATTGTCGGGCCAAAAGGAGCACGTTGGTGAACAGGTTCAGACGCTTAACGTCGTTTGGTGACATTATTTAGATCCTCTGTTCAAACTCGATCCAGATCAGCAACCGGTAGATCAAATGTTTAAACTCTCCAATGGAAATGAGGTTTTATCAACGTCGAGCCTCTTTGCTTGGTTTTGTTCTTTGTATATTTCATTTATTTTTTTTAAACATATTTAGAGCCGAACTTTTGTTTTGAAAACCTTTCTGTGTTTTCTGTGCTTATTTTATTTGTTGGTATATTTTCAGATCTTCAAGGCAGCTAAAACCGTAAATGCATACTTTCAGTGTTTCTAACATTGGCCAGCTTTTTGTGATTAAACTAATAAAACGAAAGTCTTTGTCTATAGTTTGTTTTCATGGGTAAGAGAGGAAATCCGTATTTATTAGTGTTTTTCATCCTGACATTCCTGGATGTACCAGAGAATAGCTCAGCCTTAGCTCTGCTAGCTTGATTCTGGTGTTCTTTTTAGTTTCTGATCCTTTTTTGGACATTTGTTATGATGCGTAACCACAGCAACCGTAGCATGTTGTTTTGTTCCACCCAGGAACTACTAACTGTCAAGGTTCTCTCCTTTTGGGACTTTGAGCTTCAGTAATTCTGTTTCATATATTTATATTTTATATTTAAGCCAGTCTTAAGTTCCTCTCTGTCGCCCCCTTGTGCCTGCCTCCTTTCCTCTAGCTCCCTTCTAGTCTCTTCCATCCACACCTGCTCCCGATTAGCTGATTAGCTAATCGGGAGCAGGTGTGGATCAGTTTTCTTCCAGCTTTCAAGGAGGGAGAAGCTGCTCAGCGTGTTTCCGATAAACTGCAGACTAGTTAGCTTTAAACTTTAAACTGCAGAAAAACAAAAGTAACGAAACAAATAACATGCCAGTCAGACATTTTTTTCCTTCATCTCGTGTTCTCTGTGTGCAGGCATGGCGGTGTCACTGAGTGTACGCCGAGTTGTCCTGTAAATCAGATGAGCAGAGACGCCTGCATGATGAGCAGATGTTGGTAGATGAATGACGTTCCAGCATCTAACTCTAGATGCTCTAGATGCATCCTCATCCCTTAAGAGAAATAGATCACTGTCAGCTAAAGCTTTTTAGTCTTTATTTCTGAGCACTATGGCTGCTCTGCCAGCGACAAACATCATAAAAAGATTCAAAGGTAAAAAAAAGATTTTTCTATCTATAGCATTTCAAGCCTGCATTTCTACTCTTAGAATTTGGGAGATGACTGCTTTTCTCTTTATTCATCTACGCTGCACAGTATATACAGTACCTTGCAAAAGTATTTAGCCCGCTGGAACTTTTCCACCTTTTCCACATTTCAGGCTTTAAAACATCCTCATAATTCCAGGTAATCCTCGCCTATTTTCCTCGCCCAAATGGAAAAGCAAATAACTGCGGAACTGTAAGCCCAGATTACATCTGATGAATCATTTAAAAGCCAACACCTTCTAGTTTCTGAAAATATAAATTAAAATAGTGTGTAACGACAACAACATTATCTGGGCTCCATATGAAGTATAACACCTGATAAAGGTTCAGGATACGGCGACAGTTCCATAAATCGGCCAAGAAGATACAATTATGCATTTCTCAGTAGTATATGATCACACATCACACACGGAAAAATAGTGACATTGGTGACATCGACCACCACACGTTACAGACATCCCAAGTTCCAAAAACTCATTTCAGGGAGATGCTTATCTACGCTCTGGATTACCCATAATTCCAAGTCGTATTGTTTAAAATAAAATACTCAAATACATAGTTTTTTTAGTGCATCGGTTCAAAAATGACACAAAGTTGTTTCTTTTCTTCCTGAAAATCATTGGTCTTTTTTTAATAGCAGTAATAACGACATGCTTGAAAATAGGCATGTGTCATTGTTTTACAATTATTCTGCATCATGTCAACAACTACTGCAGAAAATTTCAGACTTCTAGGTATAAAAGTTCTAGAGCTATGAGACTTTTAACTTCTGGAGTCATCAGCGTCTCCAAACCTCATCAAATTGTTTGAAATTGTTCTTCTTGGTTTTAAACAATAATTTTACCCCCAAAATCAAACTGACGCATTTTTATGGTCACAAAATATTTTTGAACTAAATATTTTTCCACTTTTTTTTCATTTTCATCTGATGATTGACTGGTGAGTATCTTTCATTTCATCATTCATAGAAGCAGACACTTGTTTTGTTGGCAGGAAGGCGATGAAAACAAACAAACCAAACATCACAGGCAAATGTTTGAGGAAGTCTTATTAGCAAGATGCTAAGCATTAGCTATGACCACTAAGTTTTTTTATTTTAAAAAAACAGACGTTGTCAGGATTTGGTTAAGATTGTGGACCAAAACGCAGAGGCAGGCAGGCAGAGGTGAATTTTTAGTTGGTTTAATGAAGGGCTAACTGAAAAAGTCCAAACAAACAGCCAACCAAGAATCCAAAATGAAAACAAAGTCACAAAAAAAAAAAAAACATGAAACCAGGAGTCCAAAATTCAAAAAAATTCAAAACATGAAAAAAATAAGAAGAAAACAGACCAGAAAACCATGGAGACATCAGGGAATGAAAACTCAAGGAGGAAGGCTCAGAGAGACGAAGTGGAGGAAGACTGAAGAGGTTAGACCAGGACCCAGCAAAGAGGAACTAAACAGCAAGATTTATTATTTATAGGAGACAGAAACAAAGAGAGACTAAGGAGCAAACTGGGAGCAGGTGTGCACAGAGCAAGAGAGGAAAAGAGGTAGGGAAAAAGGAGAACACAAGAGGGCAGCAGAGGGCAACAAATGAAAAAACCTGGAAGACTGGAAATAACAACAAAATAATAATAATTAAACCACTAAGACTCTAAAACAAGGAGAAAAGTAAAACTAAACACTCAAAAGAAAACATAAAAGAACCAAGACTAAAACAGTAACTAAGAATTAACTAGAGAACATAGCAAAATAAAAAATAAAACCAATAACACTAGAAAACAAGGAGCAAAGCAAAAATGAACCAAGACTGAGACGGTTAATGAGAAAAAAACACGGAACACAAAAAACTAAGAATTAAACCATAAAAACTAAGAAACAAGGAGAAAAGCTAAACTGGATACTCAAAAGAAAAACACAGAAACCTAACAGACGTTATGAGGTGGTTTTATATTCACAGAATATTTTTATTCTGAATATTCTGGATTATTTTAATCTGTGGACCCGTATGGAAGAACGGAATATAAACAATAGAAGATTAGATTTATAAAATGACTTCTGGGAGCCTATAGAGGGATGTAGCTGTGGCTGCTTTAGCTCATGCTGCTCTATCTGAGTTAACTGTG